TTTTCCAGTCCTAATCCAGGAATTTTCCTTGCAGGGAGGAAAACCCTGGGTGGGTCAGGATCTCCTCCCTGGAGGATCAGATTGATCCCAATATCCCACATTCCTACGGAGTCACCTCCACTCTGATTTTCCACGGCCCTACAGATTTTCCAGTGGGAAGTCCTGGATGGGTCAGGATGTGCTCCCCGGAACCAGGGACAGGATAATGGGAATGGCATCCAGGGGAGGTTCAGGGTGGATATTTGGGAATATTCCTTCATGGAAAGGGAGCCATTGGAAGGGGACTTGGGGGTGGGAACCGTTGGATTCAATCTCTGAGGGCTTTTCCAAGCCAAACGATCCCAGAATTTCAGGAAAGCGGGATGGGGAGTTGGGATTGGAGCGGAGCAGATCCTGCTCTCCCTGGCTGATGGGAAATCCTCAGTTGTGACCGATGGAATCCTTGGCTTCCCACTGGAATTTTCCCATTCCCACATGGAACGAGGGCAGCAGCCTCATCCCAGCCACAGCCAGATGGTCAGAGAAGACCAAACCCCAAAGTTATCCCAAAAAACCCCAACGAATCCCATTTTTCTCCTCTCACCGTCCACATCATACACCTGGAAGAGGAACTGGAGCTTTTCCGTGGAATTCCCACGGAGCAGCCGGCTCAGGGATCCCAGCAGCTCCTCCCGGCTCAGGGAGCCGCTCCCGTCGGAATCGAAGAGCGCAAAAAACCTCTCGGCAAAGAAGGACTGCAGGAAAAGTGGGAATGTTCCCATGGAGCAGGGAATGTTCCCATGGAGCAGGGAATCGGGAATGCTCCCATGGAGCCCAGAATGTTCCCAAGGAGCAGGGAATGTTCCCCATGGATCAGGGAATCGGGAATGCTCCCATGGAGCACGGAATGTTCCCGTGGAGCAGGGAAATCCCACTGATCCCTCCCCTTTCCCCACAGATCCCATTCCCTCTTCCCATGGATCCCTGACCTCCTTGACCTGCAGCGCGGATTTGAACTCTTCCAGGCTGATTTCCTTCTCCTTCCCAGCGACATTCCCAAATTTCTTGCTCACCCAGCGCAGCCACTCCGCGTCCGCCGCCACTCCCATGGTTCCGGAGCGATCCCTAAATCCCAACAATCCTTTTTTTGGGATCTCCCAGCCTCGTTCCGTGGAGCATCCCAAAGTTGGATCCTGCAGGGATCAGCTGCATTCCATGGAATCCCAAATCCCCATGGAGCTGCTGAGCCCAGTTCCCGGGATAATCACGGGGTCCATGGGAACATCCCTGGGGATTCATTTTTCCCAGGAAACCCAAGCAGGGATCATCTCCCATTCCCATTCCCTCCTTTCCCAGCCCTCCAAAATTCCTCCAATCCCCCACGCTCCATGAAATCCATCAGCACTTCCCAACATCCCAGATTTCCCCAGGATCCAAAGGAAAATCCACGTTCCAGGAGCCTTTTCCCATTTCCAGCCTCTCCTGTTCACCTCCAACGGGGAGACTCCAAAGGGAAATCCTGGAAAAGCCCGCAGTGTTCCCAAGGAAAGGGATGGGTCTGGCTGGGATAAATCCCAAATCCCAAATCCCTGCTCCTGCCTCATTCCCATTATCCCTCCCTTCCCAAATCCCGCCCAGCTCCTTGGCCCGTCCCAATCCCGCTTTTCCCAGCTGTTGTTTATCCCTTTGCCGACCCCTGCACTGGACATTCCCTGTCCCCTCCATCCCTCGGGAATTGTGTTCCTGCCAAACCCATCTGGAGCCGCCGCTCACGGGATGCGCTCCGGAATTCCGGCCCGTCAGGAACACGCCGGGAATGTCTTCTCCAGCCTCCATCCTTTCATTCCCTCCACAATGAATCCCCCTGGGACCAGGTTGCCATGGGAATGTCAGGAGCAGATCCAGGCACAATTCCCACATTCCAGAGGCATCCGAGCCCCCGGGTCCCGCTTGGAAAAACCGCCAGGGGCTGCTGGAGCACGGAACTGATCCCAGGAAAATCCAAACACCGTCAGGATCTCGGGATAAACTGGATTAAATCCAGCCCTGTCCTATCCCAAATCCAGCCTTTTTTCCCATCCCAAATCCAGCCTTTTTTCCCATCCCAAATCCAGCCCTGTCCCATCCCAAATCCAGCCCTGTCCTATCCCAAATCCAGCCTTTTCCCCATCCCAAATCCAGCCCTGTCCTATCCCAAATCCTGCCCTGTCCCATCCCAAATCCAGCCCTGTCCCATCCCAAATCCAGCCCTGTCCTATCCCAAATCCAGCCTTTTCCCCATCCCAAATCCAGCCCTCTCCTATCCCAAATCCAGCCCTGTCCCATCCCAAATCCAGCCCTGTCCTATCCCAAATCCAGCCTTTTTTCCCATCCCAAATCCTGCCCTGTCCTATCCCAAATCCAGCCTTTTTTCCCATCCCAAATCCTGCCNCAGCCCTGTTCTATCCCAAATCCAGCCTTTTTTCCCATCCCAAATCCAGCCTTGTCCTATCCCAAATCCAGCCTTTTTCCCCATCCCAAATCCAGCCCTCTCCCATCCCAAATCCAGCCCTGTCCTATCCCAAATCCAGCCCTGTCCTATCCCAAATCCAGCCCTGTCCTATCCCAAATCCAGCTCTGTCCTATCCCAAATCCAGCTTTGTTTTTTCCCATCCCAAATCCAGCTTTTTTCCCATCCCAAATCCAGCCCTGTCCTATCCCAAATCCAGCCCTGTCCCATCCCAAATCCAGCCCTGTCCCATCCCAAATCCAGCCCTGTCCTATCCCAAATCCAGCCTTTTTTCCCCATCCCAAATCCTGCCCTGTCCTATCCCAAATCCTGCCCTGTCCTATCCCAAATCCTGCCCTGTCCTATCCCAAATCCTGCCCTGTCCTATCCCAAATCCTGCCTTTTTCCCATCCCAAATCCAGCCCTCTCCTATCCCAAATCCTGCCCTGTCCTATCCCAAATCCAGCCCTGTCCTATCCCAAATCCAGCCTTTTTTCCCATCCCAAACCCAGCCCTGTCCCATCCCAAATCCAGCTTTTTTCCCATCCCAAACCCAGCCCTGTCCCATCCCAAATCCAGCCTTTTTTCCCATCCCAAATCCAGTCCTGTCCTATCCCAAATCCAGCCTTTTTTCCCATCCCAAATCCAGCCCTGTCCTATCCCAAATCCAGCCTTTTTTCCCATCCCAAATCCAGCCTTGTCCTATCCCAAATCCAGACTTTTTCCCCATCCCAAATCCAGCCCTGTTCCATCCCAAATCCAGCCCTGTCCTATCCCAAATCCAGCCCTGTCCCATCCCAAATCCAGCCCTGTCCTATCCCAAATCCTGCCCTGTCCTATCCCAAATCCAGCCCCGTCCTATCCCAAATCCTGCCTTTTCCCCATCCCAAATCCAGCCCCGTCCTATCCCAAATCCAGCCTTTTTCCCCATCCCAAATCCAGCCCTGTCCCATCCCAAATCCAGCCTTTTTCCCCATCCCAAATCCAGCCCTGTCCCATCCCAAATCCAGCCCTGTCCTATCCCAAATCCAGCCTTTTTCCCCATCCCAAATCCAGCCCTGTCCTATCCCAAATCCAGCCCTCTCCCATCCCAAATCCAGACTTTTCCCCCATCCCAAATCCAGCCTTTTTCCCCATCCCAAATCCAGCCTTTTTCCCCATCCCAAATCCTGCCCTGTCCCATCCCAAATCCTGCCCTGTCCTATCCCAAATCCTGCCCTGTCCCATCCCTAATCCAGCCCTGTCCCATCCCTAATCCAGCCCTGTCCCATCCCAAATCCAGCTTTTTTTTCCCATCCCAAATCCTGCCCTCTCCTATCCCAAATCCTGCCCTGTCCTATCCCAAATCCATCTTGTTTTCCCATCCCAAATCCAGCCCTGTTCTATCCCAAATCCAGCCCTGTCCTATCCCAAATCCAGCCTTTTTTTCCCATCCCAAATCCAGCCTTTTTTCCCATCCCAAATCCAGCCCTGTCCCATCCCAAATCCAGCCCTGTCCCATCCCAAATCCAGCTTTTTTCCCATCCCAAATCCAGCCTTTTTCCCATCCCAAACCCAGACTTTTCCCGGGATCTCCGTGCCTTTATCCCGGTATTTCTGGGATTTCAAAGGTTTTTCCCGGGATGGAGCCGTTCCCTCCTTTTCCAGCTCTTTGTGCCATATCCAGGTGCATCCATAGGGAGAAACCCGGGAATTCTCCTGCTCCATGTGGGATTTGGCTTTTCCCAGCTCCAAGGAATGGGAATTCCAGGTGGGAATGGGGGCAGCAATGGGAGCTCCATTCCCAATTTTCCCTTGGATTCCACGGGATTTGCTCATCCTGAGGAATTCAATCCCTGTTGTTCCCAGGAAACCTCCCCCACTTCCCAACTTTTCCTTGGATTCTACCTCAAATTCATTCCATTTTTCCATGTTTTCCACCCATTCTCCCTAAATTCTGAGGGATTATCCCAGAATTCCTTGGATTTATAACTCATCCTGATTTTTTGGGGCAATTTTACCAAATTGTCCCATTAATCCAAGCCAATAAAGCAGGAAAATCTTGGAATATTCCATTAGAAAAATCAGGAATGTGGCAATTATTCCACAAATTTTTCCATGAAAAAGAAAACTTAACAATAATATTTAAAAAATGGGAATAACATGTTCCAACTAATTTTATGGAATTTTTGAGCCATCCCAGAGGTTTTTTCCTTGTTTTTTACTTTCAAATCAGCTTTTCCTCCTATTTTTATCAGATTTTCCCACTTTTTTCCCTGGAATGCTGGGAAAATTCCAATTTTAAGGGGTTAAACCACAAATTGGAAATTCTTGTGGAATCTCAAGGGTGTTTTCCATGGAATTCCTGGATCCCAGGGATTTGTTTTATCCCAAAGTTCCCCAGCTGGGAGTTGTTCCTAAGAAAAAGAAGGAATTCTTTGTGTGGGAAAACAAAGGGACGTTTAAGGGATGAACAAACAATTCCCAGGGATTTTCCATGGGAATTCACCCCAGGAATGCAGGGCAGATTCCTATGGAATTTGGGAGGAAATCCTGGGAAAAGAAAGGGAAAAAACAAAGGAAAAATCCCAAAAATTCCATTAAAAATTCGTGCTAAAAACCAATCCCAAAAATTCAAAATTCCCGGAAAAATAAAGAAGGAAAAATCCCAGAAATTCCCGGTAAAAATAAATCCCATCAATTCAAAATTCCTGTTAAAACAGCCAAGGAAAAAAAAACTCAGATTCCTGCAAAAAAAACCCCCAATCCCACAAATTCAAAATTCCTCTTAAAAATAAACAAGGAAAAATCCCACAAATTGAAAATTCCGGGTAAAATTTAACAAGGAAAAAACTCCACAAATTCCTGTTAAAAATTAACTATGAAAAATTCCATAAATTCAGAATTCCTGGTAAAAATGGACAGGACAAATTCCATTGAAAATTCCCCTTAAAACCACATCCAAATAATTTCAAAATTCGTGGTAAAATAAACAAGGAAAAATCCCAGGAATTCCATTAAAAATTCCTGGTAAAAACAAATCCCACAAACTCAAAATTCCTCTTAAAAATAAACAGGAAAAATCCCACAAATTCCAGTTAAAAACAAGGAAAAAAACCTCAAATTCCTGCTAAAAACCAATCCCATAAATTCCAAATTCCTGATAAAAACAAACAAGGAAAAAAATCCCAACAATTCCCAATAAAAACCAACCCCATAAATTCAAAATTCCTATAAAAACAAAGCAGGATAAAAACTCAGGAATGAAAAATCACAGAAGGAAAGTTGTACCATGGAAAAATAACCCTTCAGGTTTATTCCCACTATTACAATTCCCAATCTTTTTTTAATTCCCAAACTCTTGGAATACAAACAATGACAGGAGCAGCTTTAAAAACGTGGAAATTTGGCTTGGAACTGAGAATAAATTCCCTCAATAATGAAAGAGAAAGGAATTTCCTGCACCTTCAAGCAATCAAAATCCACATTTTTCTTTAGAACAAACAAAGGAAAAAGCAGCTCTGGATTCCCAGAAATTCCTTTGAAATCCCAGCTTGTCCCAGCAATTTTTTTTTTTTCCAGGAGAAAAGTCCTTTTCCAGAGGCTTTCAGCAGCACCAGGAGCAGAAATTCCATGAAAAGTTCCTGAAGATTCAGCCCAGGAGCCACCTCTGGACACACCTGGAAAGGAGAAATTTAAAGAGAGCTCAAATCAAATTCTGCCTCATTCCCAAATCCCAAACATTTCAAAAACTTTGGAATATTAATTCCAATCCAGGATTTCCCAGCCTACCCCAAACTTCCATCCTAAACCCCTCGAACATCCCAAAAAAAGGAACATTTTGCAGTTTTCTTTTGCTGAAATTGGAATTTTTACCTGGAGTTGGATCCAGCTTTTCCTGTCCCATTCCCAACGCAATTCCTGCTGGTTTTATCCATATTCCTGGAATTTTTCCATGCTCACAGCTGAGACTTTGTGTCCATCCTGTCCTGTAAAGTATACAGATATATAATCAAGTTTCCCATGGATTTTCAGCATTCCCTCAATGCTTTCCAACATCTCTTTGGGATTTTCCAGCCCTGTGTTTTCCAGGAAAAGCAGGAAGGGACAAACAGAGATTTTAGAAGGAACTGAAGCACTTTTTACCTGAGTTCTGCTCCAGCTGATGGGAACAGTTTGGCAATCCCAAATCCTTGGAAAAGGGCAGCTCTGGGCTTGGATCCTCATCCTGCAGCGCCTGGAAAAGGATCCGGGAGCGGGGAATGGTTTGGGATGGGAAGGAGCTTGAGGCTCATCTCATTCCATGGGCTGGGATCATTCCCACCATCCCAGGCTGCTCCAAGGGATGGAGCCCTGGGAATTCCAG